GCAGCAAATTCATCAGTCGTATAAGAAGAACAAGATTCGACGTTTTTGCGGTTAATTATGCGACGGCGTTATTACGTATTTGCAATACATTTAATGCCAACTGCTCTATTAATATTGTCATTGAGGTACATGTCATGCATTTACGAAATTCTCCATCTTATTGATCCTTCGATAATAATAAATTCCCGTTTTATATATATACACACACACACACACACACGCGCATATATATATATATATATATATGTACGTGTGTGTGTGTGTGTGTGTGCGCGCGGGCGCGCGTGCATGTGTGTGTAGATACATGCGTATGCACGTGTGTATTTATAAGCCTACGCGTACACTATACGCTTGATCTTACGAATACGACCAATAGGATATAACGAAGTCCTATTCTTCGTTATATCGTAGCTTGTTATGGAGAAGTAACATAACGTATGTATGCATATATAATTCGAGAGAGTGATTTTTGCACATTGCGAAGACAACGATAGATTTAATTGACGTCGTCGATGATGGTAGATGGATATGTGTGAATGCGTGCCTACATTGTCTCATTATCCTTTCAACGATCCATTATACGTACAACTCATAAATTCCTTAATAACCTCTATACATCTCACGCTAATGCGGCGAGACTCTGCCCGTGTGTAGGTGTTACTGTTGTGTGATTATAAGTGAGTGCTTATGAGATTTCAAGTGCAAGCAAGTAAGTGAGGGTGAACTATCATCCAGGCTAATCAGCTAATGGGGAAGATTACAAGATTTACACGTAGTCGTCGTACAATATCTTTTATTTATTCATTAATTTAATTTGTTGCTTAAATAATTAATCACTTACTTATTTATGTATATTTTTTTTATGATTAATATTATAGCATTGAATAGCTTCAGTTACGGTTAATATACTTTAAAAAAACATAAAACAAAAAGTCAAAAGAAAAAAAAAAGACGAAGAAGAAAACAAAAGTAACCTTACCAAACTCTCTACGAATCAACCTAAGTTTAGTTACATAACCTAGAAAAATAAATTTGAAGATTTCTGCATTTAATTAAATACTAAATAATAGCTAAATGTTCAATCCTCGAATTTAAAACTGAGAATACATGGAGCTCAATGCTTTATGCTTAATATTATTGGAGAGATATTATATTTCTATACGAGCAGCGGTGACATACGAGTTTAGACTAATCTAATGACTTTATCTTGCTTCTTTATCGATTCAAATCAATTTCCGAATTTTCAGCATTTAATGATCGTGTGGAACATCATGGTATGGAAAAGTTAAAGTATCGTAAGCGTCTTCTTTATAGTAATTTCAATTTATTTACAGCTCGGCTGCTTTCACGTGCTTATATTTTATTATTATAATGCAATGTAGGGCTTCATTTTATACAAATTGTGTAATTACTCGCCTTATCGATTTTAGTCTTATTTTTTAATTTTTCGTTTCTCATATTTTACATATAAATAAATCAAAATTTTTTTTTGAAATGCTCACACATATTCACATCGCACATCGCACCTCATACATCGATTTTCTTATTTTAATTTAGCTCGTAAGGAATAAAAGGAAACAGTCTATACAGTGGTAGAACAATTAATTAAACTGTAGTGAGGACATAATTCAACTACTTATTCTTATCTATATTAATTTGTGTACATTTAGATACAAAATTTTCCATCGACATATTTTCGAAAGATTCCACTTCAACTGGGTAAGTATAAATTTTAAATTACTCTCTTTTAATGTATTATAGTATATGTGCCTTCATATATTTACTTGATATAATGACGATTAGTAGAAATAAGAGTTTAAAAAAGAAAAAAAAACAAAAAATGCAAGAATGAAAGGGAGGGGGGGGGGGGGGGGGGGGGGGGGGGGTGAATGAGAGAGAGAGAGAGAGAGAGAGAGAGAGAGAGAACCAAAGGAATAAAAGAAAATGCACGAATTTACTAAAAATTTATTCGAATATTGAAATATTCAAATATTTTTGTTGAGAAAATGAGATAATAATTAGTTACAAATGGAAGGTCGATCGATTATAAAGTTGAGCATTTGTTTATGCGATAGTTCCATAAGCTCTTGTATGTGAAATTTTTTAGCCTTCTTGTCCAGTTGACGGGAATTTTTGTTTTTCCTACACGAAACATTCAAAGTAATTGAAAAGAGTGTTCTTATCGTTGTTATCTTAATGATAAAAAGTATGCTTTTAACGCTTGACTAGACGAAATTTTCATTGCAAAATTAAGATCGGTAAACTTTTTCAACGTTAAATCGAAATTTTTAGCAAAACAACGTATATAATAATTTAAGGCAAAGTTAATATTAGCAAAATATTACCCATCGTACAATTTATAAATTGGTCATTGCAAATAATGTACTTGTAAGGCTTCGGGGGATATGAGAATTCGTCGTATTCGATTAATTTTCATTCGCTGGCAGAAGATGAGAAATGCACGACATTCTATTTTCGCATATCGCGCAATGATTATCGTAAAATTCGTGCGGTATGTCCGCGGTTAGTTATCCGTTTCTCTCTCGTTGACTTCCGCATTGCCGTCTTCGGTTTTGGCCTCTTCTTATTCACGGCGCCTAGGCACACCTACCGAACTTTCTCTGGTATTTCATGCTAGATTTAATGCACTACTCCCCGAATCCCCTTGCTTACCCAACCATCAAACTTCCCATTACCAAACGGCCCTATACCCGCCCAAATATTGGCGCAATTTGTGATTCGGCATACGCCGAGGATATCCCAACGGATGATTAATTATTAATAATAATGTTCAAGCCCGTCGTACTAATGTTAGGGAATATTTTGAGAGAGGGCCAATTAAAATGGCACGCCGATGCCTTCGAGTATAAGAAATTTGATATTACGACGATTGCTTTGCTCCATCCCTAATTCATGGAACTTAGAGTATTTAAATTCATGATAATTTTAGGGCTTATTTTTACAGGCTATTAAATTCCTTTGCAACGTCTTACGTTTCCACGCCAACGCATAAATTGCACAATACGTAATAAGTCGGCAAGCGATGAAGTATTACCAAATGATAAATACGACGAAATGTATGAAATCGACAAAATCTACGTTTCTTTTGCATTTCTAAGAGCCATACGAACCTTACAATTTAGCGCTCACGATATAACATTTTTAAATACAAATATCATAAGTTAATTCGAGGGAGGGGGGGGGGGCGACGAGAACGTCTCGTTGCTTGATTCCCAGTATTCTTAACTGCCAATTAGAGAACGCTTCGTTTTGATCAATCATCACAGTAGACGAAATATTTGCATTACTTACACTTAACTCTAATAACTTATGCACTAAGAGCTTGCATTGCTTTATCTTCCATATTGCAATTAGTTAGATGCTAATGCCTTCTCTCTTCTCATTTCGTAAATAGCATACATGACGTTTTTGTATAAAAGAAATAATACATATACATATACATATATATATATATATATGAAAGATAATTTTTTATTGCAAGCTTAATTATTAATTAGGCATGGTAAAAAATTGTTATGAAAAATAATTGCTTGCATAATATTAATACTTTGTGTCGAAAGATATAATGTATAATGCCAGGTATTTCATGTATAAGGAGAGAATTTTCTCTTTAATAATTAAAGTGCGCTTAATCACGATTCCGCCGTTTCCCTGAGCTTTGCTTATGTACTCTTGTATAAGCTCCGAATAAATGCTGCGTCGATCGATATTCGATATCACGAGTTCTTTCCACGAATAACTTGGATCATCGAGTCATCACCAAGTGCACGACAATGATGATTGTGATGATGACACTAAAAAAAAAACAACAAAAAAAAACAAACAAAGAAAAGAATAAAATACATAGAATTCTCTCCTTATATACTTGTTAGAACCAATTGTTACGAATGTTAAGCAATCGAGAGCAAAAATCATATCCGTAGCTGCTGCTACGTGTATTCGCGACACTTTTCAAAAAGTGTGCGACCGTCGATGCATCATCCTTTTTGCCATCCAACGGGTATCCAACGGGTATCCAAGGGGCTCAGAGCATACAAATAGGGGAGAAAGATTGCACGAGGGCTCCTTTATTCTCTTCTCGTGGAATAAGATAAGCAGAACGTGACCGTTGACATTAATACATTTATCAATTTATATCAACTATCGGCGTGGTGGCGCAATTTACATAAGGCGCACTAGAGAGACGTTGATAAAGTTGTTGCGGATAAGTGTCGCGCGGTCCGTCGATCGATCATATTCGCTTGACGATGACGCGCGTTGATGGGAAGCCATTTTTTATTCGCTCCCTCTTGATACGCCGAGGACGTCAACTCGTCTTATCGCGAGCTTCGCCATGTATATGAGCACCTACTTTGCTCAACTCAACCTGGACGCGCGACACGTGCAATTGTCCATAGCTGGAAAGGTGCGAGCGGTAATCGGATACACCGTCTACTGATATGCATTAATGCGCGCACGCACGCGCGTTGACGAGTGCGTCTATACTTAAACTTCAACACTGCTGGGAGGACAGTTGTAAGAGCAGCCCTGACAGTGTAATAATACCTGTAGTGCGATACTTTATACAATAGGTTAAGAAAATGAGCGAGTCTACGCGGTATCGGGGCGGAGGAAGCAGAGGGGGGCTAGAGTCGAGGTTGGACAGTACGTTTGGCATTCGTAGTCTCGGGGGATGCGTATCGCACTTTTTCGCTGTAAGCGGGGATAAATAAGAGTGGCGGCGCAGGATGGGGTAGGGATAGGCGGTGGGAGTGGGAGAGGCTCGAGATATTCGTCGGAGTCGTTGGGAATCCGGTGTAAATACCCCAGGTGATTTCGATAGATACAAAACACTACATAGAGTCGTAACACAGCTAATAGGACACGCGTACGGGCGCATGCACGCGTGCCTATAATTCACGAAGGAGGAGGAGGAGGAGGAGGAGGACGAGGAGGAGGACAAGAGGATATGGACTATCTATCCGTACGTGACCGCGTACGTGCGTGAGAGTTCGTAGTGTCGGTTGGGTGAGCTCAGAGAGGTGCGATCTTCTCCGCGTGCTGGAGCACCGGCAGGTGGCTCTCGTAGACCGGGACGCACTTGTAGTACTGCTGGGGGAAGCCGACAAAGTCGGCCTCCGAGGGTGCGAGACGAGACCGGAAACGACCCCGCACCAAGTGTATCATCAGCAGGCCGGAGATGAGGGTGAGCACCGCGATCAGGATGACCGGGACTGTACCCCAGCCTCTTGACTCCTCCGCAGCCTGTCGACAACAAAAAAACTCTGTCATCCTAATGAATTTGAAGAGATGGAAGCTGGTTTAAATGCTGAGGTCGAGCATCAGTGCAATATCAATATAATCTCAAATTGCATCTACATACTCTGGCTCTCTCTCTCTCTCTCTCTCTCTCTCTCTCTCTCTCTCTCTCTCTCTCTCTCTCTCTCTCTCTCTCTCTCTCTCTCGTGCTGAATTCTCGACATTGGATAAATTTTTAATGTAGCCATTGAATGTTTATAGTCGGAAGTCGATTATCAGTCAATATTTGTTTAACAATGCCACGAGAGTCCAGACGTCCAATGTCCAGTCGTTTAATCGCGGTGATAAGTGCCATTTTACATCCTTGGGCTCTCGGTTGTATTAATTCGCAAATAGATACGAGTTGGAGAGAGAGAGAGCCAACGATTGGTAGTTGGTCGATTCTAGTAGCTGTTGGGGTGGGAGATGATTTTCAGCGGCAATGGCATTGTTATGGAATTAATTTTTATCCCCGTGACGAAGGGAATGGAAGATTGTAGGGCCCACGAGGTGCGCAAAAAATCGTTGTAAAATTGATCGAATAAGGTAATATTTTTAGGAAAGGAAAGGAACGATTATTAATGACAAGCGACTGCATTATTGAACCGAATGTTCAAAGGGATATTATTTTATCTATAATTCAATTAAAATTTAAATTAAATATGTCACGAGCAAGCCGAATTTGCGATTAAATTATAAAGTAATCGAATTGTAAGGGAATAAGTATAATTCTATTGGCAACGATAATTATTACAATTTTTGAGTTAACGATTGATTTAATGAGACAATTTAATTTATCGTATTATTCGCGATTGTCACTAAAAGTAGCAGCGATATAATAATTAAATAAATTATGGATTGCTAATTAACTTCTGAAAATATACTCATTTGTTGAATGGACTTTGTTAATTTATACTCGTTTACGAATGATCTATGTGTGGTGCAGAGTCGTGATGCGTCCGTCGGAGCGGCTGTCGGGATCGTTAAAAATGTTAAATATTATGAAATTTTTAATTTATAACGATTTTATGCGCATTTTTTTCCCATTCCTTTCTCTCAATTCTATCATTTTTCAGCATTTTATTACAGTTTTTCAATTACAGGCTATGTAAGTTTATTAGGTAAATCAAACATTTTCTCAATTAGTAATGGACGTACTGTCGCTCTCGGGACAGCTACTTTGGACGTTCTCCGTGACAAATGTGCGTGGACTCGCGGTCCTTCTATTTCCGTATGCCATTGTACTTTTTAGAAAACACTCGTCCTATTGACCAATTTTACATTAATTCGAATGGATGATAAATCAAAATGGCCAAGCCAGTGCCAAAATGCACAATGGCATTAGCCCCAGTGAGATAATTAAATACATATTTTCTACAATTGGTTATTCTCTTTTGAATTCGGCTGCCGATTGACGCACCCTGATTATCTCGATATATTGTTTATAAGTAATTGGTTAAAAATATATCCACAAGGCTACTTAACTGCTGCTATTCCGTTCGCAAATAAATTATAACGCAGAGATATTATATTTTTCTTTAGAATTTTGCTTGTCTTGATATTATAATGAAATTTTGCATTTATCGGGAGATTCGGTTGAAACGAGGTTACTGTGAACTTATCTGCTCGTATGGCGTCTCAAGTAATTGTCTTTAATGTTGAAAACCGAATTTTCACTCGGTTAAAATTCTTAAATTCACGGACTTTAAATTATCTTTCGTCATTTGAATGACGACGAGAGGTTGAAAATTGAATTGTCTATTTTTTAATTTTTAAGCACCAGGCATAATATTTACAGATATTCTGTTTTATTAAATAAGTCTTTTAAGAATAATATTTTTTAGAAATTTCGATCAAAGCGAAGCATGAAAATGGACTTTCCGCTTAGTTTATCTGCTAATCTCTCTTTCCTTTCTTTTTTTCCCTCATTTTTTTCTTTTTTCTTTTTTCTTTTTTATGAAATTAATGCAGTTAGGAATAATTGTACAAGGATAGTGGATAAGGGACGATTGAGAATTCTCTTTAGTAATTCTTGATTAGTGGTTGGCTTGTTTGTGTGCTTTTTATTACGCATACATACAGTCTAAACACGTAAGACGAGCTGTGCGAATGTACGGTGGTAACCTTTAATATTATCTGAAACGAAAGCAAACCCTTTGTTGTATTATGAAGGAGGAATGGCGCGTTGCCATGCTAACGAGTGAGACGATAAATGGAAAATGAGTACACTCTTCAAATTTTGCGGGATGCAATATTGCGTACCCGAAAACGTAAGTTTATTGAAATTTAATGGTCGAGCGAATAATCGTTGAATAAACATAATAATTCGCATTTACGAAACTTATAATTATAAAGTTACCAAGGGCAAAGGTTAAATTGTAATTAGAAACGTATGAGGCATTTAGTACGTAGTTCGATAAAAATCGGAAAATTGTGCAGGACAGTAAATTTTTTCGCGCACTTTTGAATCTCGTATTCATTTCTCTATTGAGAGTTCAAGGAGCTTTTTAACGTGGATTTGGAGCGCAATAAAGCTCACAATATTCATTAAAATATTAATGAAAATAATGAAAAAGGCCCTCCGTGATTCTTGTCTACAATTGCCTGTCGGGTATTCATAAACAGCCAGAAGTCAAAAAAGAAGGCGAAGCGCATTGTTTGGCTCTCGTTGAACGATAAGACATCTAAATACACAATTATTTTAAAGATACCCGAGTGAAGATGGCAACGAGCAGACTACTTAACTTCAAATTACTTTTCAAGTGTGTGTGTGCGCGCGTGTTTGTGGGGAGGGGGATGGGAGGAACGGTTAATATTATTAATGTTTGCGCATGAGAAGTACATCCGCCGAGGCTTGTTTCGCCGTCGTTTAGTTTAATTTTCCAATGCGCCCACGGAGAGTGCGGGACTTTTCCATTGGGACTGGCGAGCCAAAGAACAAATAAAGAATGAAAAAAAAAAACATAGAAAAAGAGAGAGAAAAAGAAAAAACAGTCACGAGGCACTCACGATACGAATGACAATTTGGGTCCATATCAGCAAGGGAACACTCACCGGGGTCGGGCAGAGAGGGCAGCATCGTCCCGGGAGCGGGGGCAGGGGATCGTTACAGCCGACCTTGCAGACCGTCTCGTTGCAGCTGACGAGGCCGCCGGGCTCGCAGAGGCAGCTCCTGCAGGGTTCCGCGTTCCAGGTCGATCCCTCGGGGTGCGTGAGGTTGCGCTCGTCGAGGCAGCTGCCGAGACAGCGGCAAGTCTATGACAGACGAATGCTCGTTATACATCGTCGACCCCGGCTTTCTTCGTCTCTTGGCGATAAATAAAGCAAAAAGCCGGGGGCGGAGGCGGAGGGTGGCGAGTAGAATCATTTGCCGCGAAATTCCTCGGGTTCGGGGTATTTTTAACGCGCGGCTTCCGTCGAGGGCGATAATATTCTCTTTTCTCTTCCGCTTCTTCTTCGACTTCTTTCTTCTCATCGACTTTCCTATTCTGTCCGTTCCCCCAACCACCATTTTTGTTCTCTCTCCGTTCATACGCGCTACAAAAGGGCTGCAGGGCGCCAGCGACTTTTATTCCAATATTTGTTTTCAGTTCAAGTAACTTTTCCCCGCGTTTTAACTAAATGTTATCTTTTTTACGTGAACTCAAATGTAAAGCGAACTTTTCAATTTTTTGCAAAAGAGATAGGCGGGGAAAAAAAAGAAACGGAATAAGGCACAAAGGGTGGAAAAATAGCATGTGTGTTCGTGAAACAGAAGCTGAAACGTAAATTTTAAGGTATATGGATAAGGTCGCTCGAGCAAAGGAAAAACATTTTATTCCTCTATGAATATATCCAAGGACCTTTTAATACTTGTAATAGATTCCTGATCGATGGGGAGTCGAATTTGCTCAACTACTTTGCGAATTCGTATATCTGACGAGAAACGATAAATTATAATGAAATAGGAACAAAACGAACTAACGTACAGACAAAATAACAATAGTATTACACGTAGCATCTGGAAAATACAAAAATATCATTCATAAACGTATATGTGCTAGGGGGATGGGGTTCGGCTGTTACCAACAAGGACTATCAGACGATCGATATTTGTTCCAAAAATTTCATAAATCACCGAAATTTGATTATTTTATGCTTTTTTTCCTCCCTTTTTCTCTCTATTTTTTATGTACACGCACGCGTGTATTTATCTCTTATAAATTGAGTATGTTAAGCGAGTAATGTTAAGAATGTTAAATAATCGGCAAGTTTGTGAATATTTTCATATTTTGCAAACAATTTCATCAGTATGCATTAAAAAATCAATACAACAATACAACATGAAAAATTAAAAATTCCTTTGTTAAAATATATCCTTTGCAGACGAATTAAATTATTACCATATAAATTTTTCTTCCTTCATTCTTTCTTGATTTCGCTCATTGGAGAGTTTGCAAGCTCGCGATATTCCAAATAAGCACAAATCCAAGTTATTATTCTTTTTAACCAATCGGTAATTATTTTCCATTATCTTACCTTACATTTGAAATCTATACTAATGCATGATAGTTATCGATCGGAATTAGAAATATTTGCGAAACATAGACGATTCCGTAAAGATCTTTCATAAAGTACAATTAAGCTTTTATCGGATGCGAAAGAGCAAGAGCCCATTTCAGCTTATTTCTAGCGTATTTAGGGCATTCTGAGAAATACACATCAATTAGGAAATGTCAGTACGTGTATGACAGAACATGACAGTTACCACACGATGATAAACGAGCCTCGTGTCGCTCTTTATCACTATATGTTATTCAGGGTTGATTTTCACCCAAAGTTAAACGGCTATGAATCAATTATATCAAATTGTTATTTTGTTGATCGAAGATTCTCCATACGAACGCTATGTTGCGCATACATAACCTATAGCAAATTCTATTAGTCGTTCATTTTAATTTTGTTGCAACGTGACTTTACACTTGTTCGTTGTGAATTTTATTCAGCGGGATACTAGGCACAGGAATTTTATACTCGTTCCGTTCGTTCAGCCATGAATACATTTTGAAAATCTTCTCGTGACCTCCTTTTTTAAGTCTCGCCAGTATCCGATCAAAGAAACATTCTAGAACTTTTTGGGGTAGGGATTCGTTAGCCAGACATATCGGGTATTAACATTTAAAATTCTTTTTAGCTTACATATTCGCCTCGCATTATGTAAAAGTGGCATAGTTGGAATTAAGTGACAATTAGAATGGGATATTCGATTATGCCACTCGTAAACCTAATTCATACGTAATTACAAAAATTATTGCTATATCCTATCTATGTTCGTGAAGAATTCGAGGCAATGAAGAAAAAGTCATACAAAAAAATAAAAATAAAATAAAGCTAAATTAATATTTAAAAATAGAAGAAGAAAAAAGCGAAGCTGGAGAAGAAGAAGCTTTTTTTAGGAAATGTGTAAAGTTCGCCTACCAAGCAGCTAGACCGTTATTTGACAAATTAAAGTTGCTATTTATTATGGAAAGTCCGACCGCCAGATATTTATTTCATTGCCTAATGACGTATTGACTAAATAAGCACGTCGAGGGGTCGCGTAGACTTTATTCAGCATGTTTTTTTTCCGCTGCAACTTAAAGTTGGCGTTATTAAGTGTATGGGAAGGAGATGACAGAAGCTCGTCGGGACAGTCGAGAGTCGAACTTGCGGGGATGGTGCCACTCACCGGACAGCCGCGCTTGTTGGTTCTGTATCCGTATGGGCATTTCCTCTGGCAGACGACGTCGAGAGGGCAGCCGAGGTGGGGCTTGCAACGGCAGATGCTGCAGCCATTTTCGTCCCTCGTCAAGCCGTACTCGCAGCGCAGCTCGCAATCCAGTTTCGGGCAGTCGTCCTCTGTATCCTCAGGCTCGTTCTGCTGTACTCGCGTAAATAAAATAAGTCGTGGTTGGAGCTGGGACTGGTGGGCGATCGGGGATTATCGGGTAGGAGCGCACCGACGATTTTCCCGTTGGGAAAGGTCAGCTTACTCCTCCAGTATCACATCGTTATCATCGACGATCATTGACGGGTGATGGGCGATGGCACTTACCTGAGTCTGGGTGCGGCACCTGCAGACGAGGCAGCCGCGCTCGTCGGTCTCGAGGCCGAGCTCGCAGTCGCGCTTGTCGCAGTTGGTGAGCGGCCGGCAGTGCTTAGGCGGCGCCGGAAGGGCCGGGCACCTGGGGCAGCACTCGCCCGGGAGGCGGGGCAGCGGCCGCAGACAGCTACGGCACATTGTCGCCTGGCAGTTGAGCACCCCGGCCTCGCAGATACAGCTCGTGCAGGGGTCGTCGAGTCGCTGCTGGCGCTCCCCATTTTCCAGCACCTGGCCCGTGCTGTCCACGCATTTGTTCGCCACGTCCTCCGGGGCCGTCCAGCTCAGCATCGCTGCGAGCACGAGGGGCCAAATCTGTGGTCTTTCGTCTTTGGATGTTGACGCGACGGGGCCCCCCTCGCGGTTATTGCTCTCGTTATTTACCGCATCGTCGCTTTATTATTATTATTATAATTATTCTTGTCCAGGATTACGAGGCCCGTCATTTTATCATTATATCATTGGCCGATTATCGCGATCGTTCCCGGTAATCGAATTCCCTTCCGATCATTAATGTTATCCTCCTTGTATTTTTTATTCTCACCGCATGCCCTCAACCTTCTCACCCATACTCCAAACGAATATATATCAAATTTCACGTTGCGACAAGCGGACAATTCTCCGGTCCCACGCGCTCGTAAGATTAACGTAAGGTTAATTCGTCGACCCTCGTACACCTCCGGCGACAATAAATAGCGATTACGAATTCGTAATTACATAAATAATTTACGGATACCAACGCGTTTGAGATGAGTCAGACTCATGTCAGACAATGAGAGAGATTGTTTATTTTATTTTGAGAAAGAGGTAGTATGAAAGTACTTCTCTATATTGGAGAAACGCGCTACGTGACAAGGAGAGGTAGAGGACGGGGAGTGGCGTTGATGTTCGAAATGAGCGTCGAGGGGTTTCTCGCGCGTTCGCTCGCTCGCTCGCTCGAGTTCTCGATTGGCCCGGGTAATCGAGGCGCGCGAGTGCATCGAAGGGGCATTTGTTTAGGGCTCGGCGGCCGTGAGAGTTATTACCTTGATTGCGGCACTCGTAGAGTGGGCAGCAGCTGCCGGGTTTCTCGGGTACGTTCGCGTTCACTTGCACCGGCTGCTGTCCGGGCTGACAGTCGTGCTTCGGACAGGGCGACACGCATTTGCATTCGCCGTCGTCGCCCGTCACGCTATCCTCCGGGCAGCCCGCACCCTCCACCCCTGCAAAAAGCACAGTGTGGTTATTAATGGCGGTAGGGTGGGAGAAACGTGGACGAGAGGGGGCAATCCCTCGTCGATCTCAGGAGGTTACTAATTAAATACCGTGGCCGGGGCTCGGTGCCGAGTAGGGACTTTTCACGGTAGATGTGCATAGATGGATTGCCGGGTAGACGATCGAGAAGTGTTTTAACACTTCTTTATAGCGAATACCTTGTGATGGTTATTAATCATTTAAATAATGATGGTAAATGGTGTGCGGTGACGTAACAATTACGGACTATACGTGAATTTTTTATATTTAATTCCCTTGAAAGTATAATCATTCAAAAATTTTTTGTCTTTCTTTTGTTTATAAGGAAGTAATTATTTCCAAAATTCCGGACTTTTATTTATAAACAACAAACGGGAAAGGAACAATTTTATTTTTATAATGTACGATAAGAGGGAAGGATATCCATTTCTTACATGATCAATAAGAATGTGAATGTCGCATATAAATTGATATTTCACTATTTTTTACTATTACACGAATATTGTACATTAATGAACAAAAATATCTTTGCCTCTAAAATGAAAACAAAAAAAAAACAATCATCTTCTTTCTTATAAAATCTAATAAAGGACTAACCCAATCTTTACGTCATATCCATGTTGCAAGACAACTTATCAATTGAAAACTATCGTCAATTATTATGCCCGCTACATTAATTTTAAAAACATATATACGTTTATATGCAAAATAATTACATGAAGTAGTTATTCTATTTACATTGCTTATTGGTCAAAGGCTACATTCGAATGAGATTTATAATCAAATTTCAATGTCATTCGAGTGCATTAAAAGTGTTAACGCTTGTGAAGTTTCTTAAATAGATTTGAAATTATCTCGTCCAGCTACTTGATAACTCATCACGATTTATCAAAACATTTATTCAATTATTTACAATTCTTATTGGAAATTGTATAATCTTGTTTCTATTTGCTTATTGATCGACAGTTTTTCTACATTAACATAACTATATAAAATATAAAATTTTTACATAACCACGTTAATGAAATATTATTCATTATATTATTCATTATTTCTTATTGATTTTACTTGTTCCATTATTTCAGTATTTCTCTAGTTATTTTTAAAGGGTAAATAAAAGAATACAAATTTTAGAAATAACTAATCATAATTATATTACTATTTCTGAAAATACTATATCGATATGATATATTCTAACGAACAAAATCGTCTATTCTAGCCAGAAAAACTATTGCGAATTTTATTTAATAATGTAAGAGGGCATGGCTGTGTAGTAGTGGCGGGGAATGGGGACGGGGGACACACAAAAGAAATGAGAAGGAGACTAAAGAAAACCGAAAATAGAGTATTTTTTCTAAAAGCTTGAGGTTTGAAAATTATACCAATGAATTGCAGTGTAATGTATGAAAATATTGAGAAAATTAATTGAAACCGAAAATAAAAATGCAAAAGAATGCTCAAAATTTTATAAGAAATATGTTTTTAATCGTTATTCTATTAAATCGTTTTAAAGTTGCTTGTAATATTTTATATGTAACTGAAATACTCGTTATGAGAATTATAAAGTTTAATAAGTTTTTCTTTAATATTAACTCAAAAGTCAAAGTCTCGCTTATACTTTATATGTACATAATTTGGAGTAAATTGCTACTATGAAAAGTAAATTTTACAATTTATGTTTTCTCTCTCTCTCTCTCTCTCTCTCTCTCTCTTTCTCTCTCTCTCTCTCTCTCTCTCTTGTAATGCATTTAATGTTAATTTAACTATTCAATGGCCTATAAATCAATGTTGGATATTTGAAAATTATAGCAATCGTGCACACGTCTCTTAATTTAGTTTTCATGGTGCGTTCAGCTTCATTTACTCTCGATAAATAAAGGAGATTTTGTTATTGGAATGGATTTTCTCGTATTGTGTGTATATTTATATTTTTTCCTTCCTTCGTTTTGTCATTAAAAATTATTAGCAACGTATGCTACCTGATCTACGATTCGTTTATATGGGTTTACTGTCTATTCTATACGCGATGACATGAAATTGTGAGAGCGACCGGAAATCAAAGAATATAAATTAATTGAAAGTTCAAAAAAATAACGGGAATGTCGAATCGATTCTCTGAATATTCAATTTATAAAATTTTATTTTGCGACCGATTATCCCAATAGTACTGCAGATTAAAATATATACATACATTTTACATATGCATTTTACAAGAGTATGGAGATATTGCATTTCATGAAATTTGCACCGGAATTATTGGGACAGTTGGCTTTTATTCTCTAGGAGATAAACATAAACTACTGCTGTATGTACCGTCTTTCTCGGAAATTTATTCCCCGACAGTTTCAAGTCAGTGCGATTCAGGGCGAAGACTGTAAAGTTCCCAGAACACTCTCCCATCAACTCAAGTAACATTATATCGGAATGACAATTCACTCTAGTAGAAATGGAAATTGTCTTTTCAGTGAGCAAAATCCTTCATATAATATTTAATAATTTGGCGATCTGCTTGGAATACGCATTGTCATAACTATTAATAAGATTTTAAAAATTCTTTAAATACTGCACTCTTGATTTTAAATCGACAAATTTACTTTATCAGAGTTGACGAATAATTTCATTCTATCTAATTCATAATTTGTTATAATATCACATTGTATAATAATGCATTACATTATTTGAGCCACGATATCAGTGAAAACATTTAGCCATATATGTACATACATACATTATGATATTTATATTAAAAGAGTATTTATATTAAAGATATTTATATTAAAGAGTACGTGTAAATATATTTGAAAATCAATTTAGAGATTAATATAAAATAAATTCATAATGCGAATGAGATATGTTGTAACTAAATATTACCAGTCGTAAATCTCGTTTTTCTAGATATGCTATAGCGACGCCAGAACTGCTTATCAGATTAGAATTCATTTTTGACGATGTGACTTATTATATTTTGAACGCTGACCTTTTCAATTTAATTTGTTCAGTTACTCATTTCCTCTATCGCACGAGTGAAATAGAAGTTGGGTTAATACCATCTTAAAGTATACCAGAACAATACTTCGATGTATGTTTTTAACGTATATATTCGTTTGATCTAAAGGACAGAAATTATTGGAAGGCAAATAAGATTACGAATTTATACAGATAATACTGTAGTTTAAAGTAAGGGTTAAATAAAGTTGAGCAACAACAAAAAAAATATATATATATATATATATCTATCTATATATAAGACAAGGAACACAATAGCGTAATTGTAACAATTAATAGGACTATAATCATAATTTATATTATCTATAATATATATCAAATAAATATGTGTATATAGGATCGTCTGCACTTATATATTTACTTACTTATAATTACATTCGTATGCAGTAGATAAGAACACAAGCAAATAATAATGCGTCGCATTTAAGGAATTGAGTCGAATGTATAAAATTAGTGAACTCACTTAAATCACTCAGTTTAATTACGGAATGATTTATTTTAATTAATAGTGTCACGAACTTAACAATAATCAGACACTGTATTCGCAATGTATTCTAATCGACAATTTAGTCGAAAGTACTCCGCGTTTATTATGCTTCTTCGTTACATATTTAATTCAACATTTTCGGCCACTCAACTTTAATAAACCACTTAATTATTATTAATAGTCGCATTTTAATAGCCGTGTTGTTTTTCTTCTCCCTCGTGTCTTACATTACTTATAGATAATTTTATTATTTACATGACGAGCAAGTGATGATTAGATGGTATAGTTAGCACGATAATAGAGAAAACCGAATGCGATCAATGCGAAGGAGCTTTTACGTTTCATCGGTCAATGCGAATCCTCGTGCTTACACAGCAGCTTTATCGATATAAAATAGTCGACTGCACGACAGCCGCCGAGTCTCGAAAGTAAGACGTCCATCCATTAGCGATAATATTAAATGCAAATAAGTTACGGTCGAAAGATTAATATAGAGAACTTCCGCGTTAGTTTTGTTAATTTTGAAAAACGTTGAGCGCTCAAAGCCTCAATTTTTAATATATCTAAAATCAATTCGACCAAGTCACAGAGACGCGGAGAGTGCAACTCTCAGCAGTAATTTATCAAGAAATTCGGATTGAAAGCGACTCACGCAATACCATATTAAAAATATCTCCGTACATCCGCAGAGCAAAGAAGCTGTACGCTAGAATAGCGACGGGGCTCATTCGGTATGCAACGGCCGGAATTTCCGCAAGCTCGAAGCGTACGGCTCATGTTCCGGAGCAAACCGTCTGCGCGGGTCTTGCCAGCTAATGAAATCTTTCGAAAGGGTGGAAGAAGAGACGTAGGCAGGATCAGAGAGAGAGAGAGAGAGAGAGAGAGAGAGAGAGAGTAAGCGCCCGCGAGAGAAACGGCGGGCGAAGGAGAGAAAGGGGCCGTGCTCGGGCAGCGCGGCTGACCACACGTAGGCCTTGTTCACTCGTAACGGTCGATTGTTTGTCCAGCTGCATCGGGTCGACAATTTCTCCGATAATCAAAGCGCAAGCTCTCGAGCTATTATTATCCCAGCGAGACGATTACCGTCTGAGATTAGATCACGGCACCACCCCATATACTAATAACACTTCTAGTACATCAAGATGGCGAAGGTGAACATGGATTTTTGCGCGTATTTCATGGAAAGGTGATAAAGAGGGAGGAAATTAATTGAATATTGTAGCACGCTGCGCCGTAATAATATGGCTGACTTCCGCGGAAAAGTTTCGCAAGTGACATGGTGAATAGAGACAGACTCCCGTTTAATATTTAAGAACATTATAAAGTTCGTATTATTAAATCGAGAGCTTTAAGAGCAAAAATAATAACTTAGTCATGTTATAAAGAACTTTGGAGCAACTAGTGTTTTATGTTGTTATCCTTTTCGTAAAAGACAGGAAAGGCAGTGAAAAACTTTATTACTACTTAGAGAATATA